CGTCGTCGTCGTCGTCGTCGTCGTCGTCGTCGTCGTCGTCGTCGTCGCGAGTCGATCGGTTGGGTCGTTTTCGGGTCGATCGGCCGTTGGTTGTCGATCGATGAAGTCAGACGGATGAACTGTGCATGCGCACGGAAAACATTTGGGCAGTTGACTTGTTCAAGACACTAAGCCGATCTAAGAATCTAAGCCTCATAGCAAACGGATGAGTCAGTTCCATTTGTTTCCTTCGGACTCCTTGGACCGCACGATCTGAAGGGTCTGAACACCGATGTTCTACTTCGGTGAACTGCTCCCAGCCCCACCACAGGGAACGCTCCTTGGTCGAAAGATCTGGGTCAACCTTCAAGATCCTTCAAGTGATCCAACCCAAAGAGGGTTCCTTCATGTTTTAGTGGTTCTAACCGCTGATTAAGAGGGTTCCTTCATGTTCCTTCATATAGATCATGTGAAGTCTACCTTCAAGTCTACCTGCTTTGTCCACAGAGCGCACTGTGCGCTGCGCTCGGCCTCTGCTTGCTGTGCACTCTGTGCAGCACACTGCGGGCTGCCGCTGCAGTCCTTGCAGGTCTGCCCTACTTCTTCCCAAGTGCGAAGACTTCTCCGTCCACTTCAACAGCTGGCACTCCTGCGCGGGACGCGCCGGACATGGCGTGGAGCCGATGGCGGCAGCTGCTGAAGCCGGCTGGGCACGGCAGTTGCCAGCTAGGGAGCAAGGCCACTCAAAGAAGGAGAGTGATGTAGGGGATGATGTAGAGATGGGGCGATGATTGAGTTGAAGAGAAAGATGGAAAGACACAGTGGTTTGAGTTTGGGGGTGGCTGACAAGGAGGTCTTTGGAAACGTGCATGTAGTATGTTGTATTCATGGATTCGCTAGCCACACCTGACACTGACGTCGCTCGCATATTGCCCTGAGCATGCTTTGTCAACAGTTTCTGTGGACAGATGGCCCTACACACCAGCAGAAACATGCAGAAACCAATTCCAGAGCTTTGGCCCAAAATGCACACATTTTGCCCAAATTCTCGGGCTGACCATGGTTTCCGCAGGTAGGGATCATACAGTGCTTCTCAGAAGTGATGGCCGCGCTGTTGCTTGCGGAGAAAATCAGATTGGACAATGCAACATTCCAGCTTTAAACGAAGGAAAGTCGTACACTCAGGTTTCTGCAGGATTCTTTCATACAGTTCTTCTCCGGAGTGATGGAACTGCGCTTGCTTGCGGAGGAAATGATTACGGACAATGCAACATTCCAGCTTCTCATGAGAAGGTTTCATGCACCCAGGTTTCTGCAGGTTGGCAACATACAGTTCTTCTTCAAAGTAATGGCAGTGCTGTTGCTTGTGGATGGAATGGTGATGGACAATGTGACATTCCACCTTTAGATCAGGGAATGTCCTACACCCAGGTTTCTGCAGGAGGGTTCCATTCTGTGCTCCTCCGAAATGACGGTAGTGCTGTTGCATGTGGAAGAATTGATTGCGGACAATGTGACATTCCAGCTTTGGATCAAGGCATTTCATACATCCAGGTTTCTGCTGGTTGGCGACCCCATACAGTTCTTCTTCAAAGTGATGGCAGTGCTGTGGCTTGCGGATGGAATGATGATGGACAATGCAACATTCCACCTTTAGATGAGGGAATGTCCTACACCCAGGTTTCTGCAGGAGGGTTCCATTCTGTGCTCCTCCGAAAAGACGGTAGTGCTGTTGCATGTGGAAGAAATGATTGCGGACAATGTGACATTCCAGCTTTGGATAAAGGCATTTCATACATTCAGGTTTCTGCCGGGTGGTTATATACAGTCCTTCTCCGAAGTGATGGTAGAGCTATAACTTGTGGCTGCAATAGTTCTGGACAATGCAATATTCCATCTTTGCTATCTTGGCGGGAGCTCTTGACTCTTGCAAAGGCCAGCCGTTGCTACTTGCGTGATTTCACACCGTTGGCACGTGGTAAGGTCGACTATGTTTTGCAATTGAGTCTTGCTTTCAAAGATGATGCCGCCAGTCTGACTTGCTGGGATTTGGCCGGGCATGAGGTGCTACGCTTAAGGGCCAAAGGGTCTGCCCTGGCTGTAGAGACTCACCAACGCATTGCGCATGACCTGCAGGTCAGCCTCTCAAGCCTCCGAGTGGTCTTGCCTGACGGACAGCTGTTGGCGGCGATCTGCAGGGCAAATCCATTGGCCACCATTGCTGAGATCCCAGCAGGATAAGCACAGAATGCAATACATCCTCGATATGGCAGTGGGTCAAGACCTGCTCAAATCCACACTGGCCACCATTGGAGCACTATGAGGTCTGCCACGGCTCACGGGGGTCACCACCTGGCCCTCCGTCGCGTTGTTCTTCGCGTCCGGGACGTTTGGAAGGCGCTGCCGAGATCTGCCGATCCAGGATCCGCCTTAAGAAGGAGACAATAGGAGACAGCCCGAAAGAGTCCAAAAGCCTTGGATCCATCACTTGATCTCTCTGAGATGAATCATATTTGTATCTGAATCTATCTACAAGGCCAATGGATTTGTAGAGGAAGATCATCAGGTCTTGGTCTTCAACCTTTAGAGGGATAGAAGGTACCACGGAGTTGAACAGAAGGACGTTATAAGGATACTACTTGGCCATCCTTAAGCAAGACACATGTTTTCTCTATGCGATTGTTTTGTTTTGTCAAAATATGGATTTCCATGTGTCATGCCCTTTTGGAGACTCCAACCACGCCCTTTGGCCTGCCCAAACCCAAAACGGCGGGCGGTCGATTCCTTCGGCCCCCAGAACGATCGGTCGATTCCTTCGGTCGTCGGACACCTCGGTGCTTCGCTCGGCATTCGCCATGACGTGCCGTGACGTGACTGTCACAAACTAGGGATCCTGGCCCATTTTGGTGGGATGCCAAACCACGAAGCGGATGTTGTTGAGGATTCTGGCTAGGGCGGCTAGGCAACATGAAGAGCTTCACTCCATGAGTGTTGCGGTTTTGCTATGTCAATCCCTGACATGGATGGAGTCAATCCCTGGCCATGTGTTTTTTTCCACGGGCTATGCGTTTGATGGCAGCCCTGCCATTTCACACGGTGAGGCCCCGTTCTTTCTTTCATCGGTCTTTGTACTTAGCAAGTACCCAGCAGAGCTTGAACAACCCTGGCCCTATAGACTATCCTTTAGATACCCCAGTAGAGTCCTAGTTCAGCTCACTTAATCTCTGTTGGACGTGCTACTTCAGGATTGTCTGCTTCTCCATGCCCGTTGCTCCCCGCCATAGGTCATTTGTCCAATCCCTTGCCCCAAACAGCCTCCAAACTTCTTGTTTGCCAGGCTTCGTCCCAGCAAACCCCAAAACCACCAAAAGCTATCTCACTCCAACACGGAGGTGATGCCTATCTACTTGGTGGCCCAAACTCTCTACAAGCTCGTGCCTGCCTTTGATCGCGTCCTCCTGCCGCTGCTGCGCGACAGCAGCGGTCGCAGCGGCAAGGGGCTGGTGGTGATCCGCCATGGGCATCCCCAGCCGAAGATCCATGAGCGGATCGCGCAGAGGCGCGATCCGCACGCAGGATGGGTGATGGCATGGGTGGGATGGGTTGGAGTTTGGGTTGTGATGGGTGGTTGCAGCGTTTGCTTGAAGTGTTCTTTTGGTATATAATTGGGTTATAATTTTGTAAGTATGGAGTGGATTGGAGGTGGTGTGGAGGAACCAAGTGTTTTTGGGCTGCTGTTGGCTAGGCATTTGGTGGTTTCGGCTGTTAAGAGTGCAACGGAAAAGGCTCTAGGGGTAATGACATGTCGTGATCAAGACAGCCTTCTTAGAGGCAGGCTCGCACCTAATGGTTATGACTTCTTATGATAAGACAGCTTTTGTTGCAGAACTGTGTTCGGCATCGGCGGCATCGGCCTCTCTTTTTCGGCCGACCAAGCAGGATCACAGCGCGTAGCAGCTTAGCATACCGAGCCAGGGAGTGCATGGAGCATTGACCAATCAGGGGGATTTTCCCGGTCCTTCGGCGATTTCCCCGGCGATTTCCGGAGAAGGAAGAACTGTTCAGAACCAAATAGACACGTACGCACGCGGGCCCTTGCAAGTGACAGATGCACAGAAGCCACTATATTTGCCCACTACAAACTCCTGAATGTAACGAGGTGATGTGCTTAGCACTGAGACCTTCAACACCTTCCAACTTCCAAATTCATCCCCAGCCAGCTTAATCCAAGCCGGCCAAGGGATTCTCCAACTGCCAGTAGCTCTTCAGGAGCTTTGCAGCTTTGTTGCTGTAGCGCTCCTTGTTTTTGCAGGTTGATGGCTCAAGTGGATGCAAGTTCTGCTAAGCGGCTGTGCTTCCTGCCGATGCAGAACGCTAGCAGCTACTTCTGGACTTCTGGACAGTTAATGATAGTCGTTCTTTGTCCCCCCAAACTCAGCCCCTTGCGAGCCCCCAGCAAATGTTCAATTGGTTGCAGTCTTTCTTTAATTGATTGCAGTTCATTGGTGAACATGTCGCTCACAGAAAGCCGGGCATTGAGGGAGCATTGATTCCAATTCCGAGCTGACAAACGTGCTTTTCCTCGGTGGTTTGTCCAGGTAGGTAGTCAAGGTTGGTCCGGGCCCAGGATCTTGAGACACGCAGATGTTCTCTTGGATACCTTCCCACATGGCGGTCACACGACCACCTTGGATGCCATCAGCATCTTAGCGGATCAGCTTCTTTCTTTATTTGGAGATCTGGTTTTGGAGTTTGAACGGATAACCCCTGCTGTCAGAAGATTTCTGTGCTGGGAATGACCTGATGATGGCACCCAGCGGCGGGGAATGGCGTGCGGGTGACCAAAATTAGAAGTCGCTAGTAGGTTGGAGGCCATCGCTACTAGGTTGGAGGACATCCCAGTATTTGCATGAATTTGCAGTGGAGGCCATCGCTAATAGGTTGGAGGCCATCGCTACTAGGTTGGAGGAAATCTTAGTATTTG